CCAACTTAAATATTTCAGTTTTTATTGTTTTAATACTGATGATTTTGGCAAACAGCTCATGAAAACCCAAAATCCCTGTCTCAAAAAATTAGCATATCATGAAAAGGTTCTCTGAACGAGCAATTAACCTCATCATCTGAATCAACAAAGTAACTCTAAACACCTGCAAAAGATTCCTGAGGCTTTTAAAAACTCCCAGCCTGGTTCATTACTCAAAACCGCAATCATGGGTCAGACTGCTGTCCAGAAGGCCATCACTGACATCCTCAAGCAAGAGGGTGAGAAACAGAAAGAAATTTCTGAACGAATCGGCTGTTTGCAGAGTGTTATATCAAGGCACCTCAGTGGGAAGTCAGTAGGAAGGAAAAAGTGTGGCAGAAAACGCTGCACAACGAGAAGAGGTGACCGGACCCTGAGGAAGATTGAAGGGCCGATTCCAGACCTTGGGGGAAGCAGTGGACTGAGTCTGGAGTAGAAACATCCAGAGCCACTGTGCACAGGCGTGTGCAGGAAATGGGCTACAGGTGCCATATTCCCCAGGTCAAAGGTCAAGCCACTTTTGAACCAGAAACAGTGGCAGAAGCGCCTGACCTGGGCTAAAGAGAAGCAGCACTTTGGACCACTGTTGTTCAGTGGTCCAAAGTACTTTTTTCGGATGAAAGCTTTGCATGTCATTCGGAAATCAAAGTGCCAGACTCTGGAGGAAGACTGGGGAGAAGGAAATGCCAAAATGCCAGAAGTCCAGTGTCAAGTACCCACAGTCAGTGATGGTCTGGGTGCCATGTCAGCTGCTGGTGTTGGTCCACTGTGTTTTATCAAGGGCAGGTCAGTGCAGCAGCTATCAGAAGATTTTGGAGCACTTCATGCTTCCATCTGCTGAAAAGTTTTATGGAGATGAAGATTTCATTTTTCAGCACAACCTGGCACCTGCTCACAGGGCCAAAACCACTGGTATTACTGACCATGGTGTTACTGTTGGCCTGCCAACTCTCCTGACCTGAACCCCATAGAGAATCTGTGGGACATTGTGAAGAGAAAGTTGAGACCCAAAACTCTGGATGAGCTTAAAGCCGCTATCGGAGCCTCCTGGGCTCCATAACACCTCAGCAGAGCCACAGGCTGATGGCCTCCATGCTGCATTGAAGGCTGCAAAAGGATTCCTGACCAAGTACTGAATGCATAACTGAACATAATTATTTGAAGGTTGACTTTTTTGGTATTAAAACACATTTCTTTTATTGGTCGGATGAAATATGCAAATTTTTTGAGACAGGAATTTTGGGTTTTCATGAGC